AAAGGTTTAAAAAATTTTGTTTTTGATATTTACACAAGCTTTTTTAAGTCTTGATGAAATTTCATCAAGATTTAAAAATTTTTAAATCTATTGCAACGAATATCAAGAAGTTTAAAAACCTCCAAAAATAATTTCAAAGAAGAATTATCCAAAAAGAAACAGACTGATAATGAAACTACAATAGAACAACTGAATATTTCAAGTGACAAGGATAGTAATTTCAAACCAATTAGAAAAAAAGATGGACTGTTTTTGAATGTAGCAGTGAAAGCAACAATGAATAAAATTTAAACTTGTTTCATTGAATTTCTACTATTTTTTTTCATATAAATATCAATGAAATTAATTTAAAATAAATATTTTTACAACATACTTGATCTTTTCTATTATATATTTTATTTTTTAATTTTATAATGGCAGACTCAATCTATTCAGTTTTCATCTGTGTGAAAAATTATGTGAAGCAAATGCTTAAATCTATATTGAATATGAATCCTATATGATTAAATATGTTGATTGCACTTGAAATAAATAAATTTGATTAAAATTTATTTAAAATTTTCTCACTTGTTAAAATTATTATTAATTATAAGATTGGTACTATAATCAGTTTCAATAATTAAACTAGTCTGTTTATAATGAAATTTTTATCAATATGTTCGGGATCCTATATTTAGTAAACTAGTTTACTATTAATATATATATAAGGTCCTGAGGATAAGAAGTACCTTGTCATAGAATATTAGTATTTATAATAATAATTTTTTTAAATTATGAATAACTGGTAATATTGTTGATGAAATTATTAATTTGTATCTGGATTGATGTATTATTAAATTAATGATTTGTTGATATAAACTTTTGCATGAACTGTTTTAATTAAAACAAATTTTAGTATGAAAACAATATGGAAGAATACAGATTTAGTTTTGTTATTTAGAGAATTTAATAAATATCTGGTAAATCAAAACAAATTATGTTCATTTTCATGTGAAAATTACTAGTTAAATAATTAAAGTAAAAGTAAAAATTTGAGGGTTGGTTGATGATATTTTTTTTATAAAATTATTTTGGAATATAATTTTATAGAGAAAAGTTATGGGATATAATTTTTATAAGAGATATAATATGACCAGCTTTTAAAATAGTAAAAATAATTTATTTTAATCAACAATTAAATCTTACAAACCTTTAAAATGCAGTCTATTTTATTATAGCATCTAACATTTTTGGTCAATTAATTGGTTTTGTTTGGAATAAATCAAAAATTTTTTCGATTCATTCCTGATGAAGGTCAGTTAATTGACCGAAAACGTTAGATGCTGTAATAAAATAGACTGCATTTTAAAGGTTTGTAAGATTTAATTTTTCATAAGTGCAGTTAGAGAAGAGTTTAATCAACAGTTTATAGTAAAAATTAAGAATTTACATATTCATTTTTCAACATAATATCCATTTAAAAATATGACACATTTTTCCAAAAGTTTAATTTATTTTTCATTTTATGCATGGAATAATTTTGAATTCTTTCCTTAATCCATTTCTGTACAGTAATTTGAATGCCAGCATCTGATAGAATTGTTGATCTTTCAATTTGTTGTTTAATTTTGGAAGCAATCATATGTCTGTTGATAAGCCAGGTACACATGTACAGTACCAGTATATCTGGCAAGTGTATCTGAATGTGTGGATGAAAAAATTGGCCATTCTGTCCTCTACATATTATGGTATACCAGTATGTGTATCTGGTTTAAGGAAAGTAAAACAGAGCTATCAAGAGCTTGTATAGCCCTAGAGTTAGTCCCCTTTAGTTCATTAGCAGGCTGTCTTTTTTTTTTTTTAAACAAATGAAATACATAAAATGTGTCTTTATTAATAAAAAGCAGTCTTAAAAACTTTTCAAAATAACATTAATTTACAAAGCTTTCTACAAGTTTGGGAAAGAATCCCAGTTCATAGAAAACTCCCTTTTTGATTGCCCTAGGGTAAAGAATAACCTTTAACTGCAGGTAGGTTGCTGTAAGTAAAAACCAGAAATCAGGACATTGTGGTAAAAATTGATGGATGCCCAGCATTAGGTAGATAGTAGCTGTATGCATGGCACTTATTGCCTACTACTCTTATTTCCTTTTTTTTTTTAGAATACAAATCTAGTAATTTTTTGTAGAAGTGAACAAATTGGGACATTTTGGGAAAATTTTCTAATGGGAATGAAATGTTCCAAATCAGGACAATCTTGGAAAAGTGGGACATCTGGGTTGCATCTTTGTTGTTTCCTTACTGCAGTGCAGTTTTGTATTGTCATTGTCATGATGCAAAAAAAAAACTTTTTTTTCTGGCCTTAGTTTTTAAATATATCTCTTGTGTACTTGTAAGGTTTTACAATACTTCACTGAATTGATGGTTTCTCCCTTTATGCACAATATTCCAATGCAAAAACTTTAGCAAGTGATATATGTAGAAACTGGATGAGAATCAGAAATAAGAGAGACATTTGTATCCAGAAAATGAGTTTAATGAATTAAAAACATTTTTGATCTTTACTTACAGGTCTTCAGTTACAAAATAAAATGATTTAAGAAAGTGAACTATTTAATGGAATCAAACATTCAAATGATATTCAATGTTGAAAAATAATAAAATACAAAATTTTAAAATTTAACACAAACCAATGAAAAAATAACATAAAAATAGTTTGATTTCTTAAATCATTCTATTTTGTAACTGAAGACCTGTAAGTAGAGATAANACCAGCTCAACACTTTTTCCGCTATCATTTTCTGGGGTGAGCTGTAATTGTCACTGAAATTGTAGTTTTTTAATGTAATGTAAGACCTACAAACACTTGTCTTTTACTGCTACCCGCGACCCCCCGTGTAAGGCTTCGCGACCCACAGGTTGAAAAACACTGATCTAATTTGTTGTGAAAAACACTACTTATATATGAATAAATAGATATTTTTTCTTATGAATAAATAGGTTAGTTTTTTTTATCAAAAAACTTTATTTATGCGAGTACTATTTATTGTTGGCAAGAAACAATTTTGTGGCTCTTTAAAAACTTTGAAATTTTGTAAATTGTAATTTTGGCTCTTCCGACTCAAAAGGTTGCCGACCCCTGGTCTAGAGAGATAGCATAAGGAAATTTCTGCTTTGTTGGTTAATTTCTTTCACTCTGTGACTTATAACTGTTGAAACAATTGACCACCAATAACTGCCTCCTGAGGTAACTGACAACACAAAAGTTTTTGTGGTTTTAGTTGCATGTCTTTTCTTCCAAAAATCAAAGATTTTATAACACTTGATTTGTTTTATGTGATTAATATGGACACACAGGCAAATAAAATATAAATCTTAGATAATTTTCAAATTTATGTGCAACTTTCAATTCTCATCAGTATTTGAAGTGAATTATTATTATTTCTTATTCCTGCATGACAGAAATAAATAAAAGTTTTCAGAAAATTTGAATAGAATATTAGATAAATATTTTGTTGCAGTCAAATATGTTGGAAAGTCAAGTAAAATACATTTATTATACTTGGATATGTTTGTTACACATGAATATAAGAAGAAAGAAATGAATTAAATACAATGATAGAGAGTACAGATCTCCAAACTGCAGCCCACATTGCTTCTAGACTATTAAAAAAATTGCAATTTAAAAAGAATATTTATTTATGTTAAACAATTTGAACTGAAGGTAGGGAGAGTAAGCAAAGGGTCATATTTACCAGAGGTCCCATTTTTCTCAGAAAATCCAAAAGTTGGATGTTTAATTAACTGACTGCTTCCCAAAATAAATGATGATTGTAATGTATTTTTTTAATTCTTAATAAACTTCTATGATTATTACTTTTTAAATTTACATGCATGTACAGTTGAACCTATTTATCTCAAATATCGTGGGAATGCAAATAAATGAGATAACCATGAAATTCAAAAATAACTGGAAGTAAATAGTTCATAAAAAAAAAATTACACCTTTGTATATCCAGCAACAAATTTAATAAAAATTAAGAATGTTTTCAACCAGATTCATTGATCTTCCTCAGTTACAGAACATAACGGAATAGAAGAATAAAAGAATGTAAGTATAAACTAAAAAGAACAAGCATTTGAATTTAAGGACATTACATTAAAAATAATAAAATACAAAATTTTAAAATTTAACACAAACCAATGAAAAAATAACATAAAAATAGTTTGATTTCTTAAATCATTCTATTTTGTAACTGAAGACCTGTAAGTAGAGATAAAAAATGTTTATAATTCATTAAACTCATTTTTTAGATGCAAAACTTTTACTCGCTGATCAAATCTTTGCATTTGCATTGAGTAAGACTAGTTTTTGTTCAAACATGGCTGATGTAATGATGCAATATAACAAAGATTTCATGTGTATATGGTAGATACTCATGAGCTCTCATATTATAGAATATATATTTTGATAGCTTCTTGATAAAGCTATCTATTTCTATATATTTTGAATTAGAAAGATTCTTTATTTTCATTTAAAACAAGAATAGTATAAATATTTCATGTTATAATATTTGAATATACTGTATTATCATGTATATAACCTATAATAATATATTCCTACAGAAAATTGCTAGAACAAAGTAAAATCTTTGTCCTGCTGTATACTTTGTGTGTATGGAGTAACCATTACTCCATAGCAGAGTTTGTAATTTAAATTAGAGTAGGTTATATGCCAATTTTTTATTGTGTAACTTGCACTATTGTCTTTTAAACACAGAAAACGCATAGGTTATATGCATGAAAATATTGTAATTGATTTTCAAAAATCTAGATAACTTGGAAATAGCTTTTAATTGTTAGAATTCATTTTTGAAATTCTTGTAATATATTCTGAAATATACAAAATGAGAATGTTAATAGCATCTAGATTTTTGAGAATCAACTGTATCATCCTACATTTTACTTAAGTAGATATATGACTAACCAATTTTTTTATTATTATTATTTTTATTTTTTAGCTCCGGAACTAGTTCTATTCTTGCAACTGCCAACGGACCCCATCCTACCCCACCTCTTCCCCCTCGTCCTACTCCACCATCGCCCAATCCCAGTGCACTATCTCTACCACCATCTTTACATAATAGTCACCATAGCTCCCCATTCAGTGCCCACCCAACATCCCTGCACCCTGGTGCTGCCCATTCCGGGATGTTTGCACCCCCTATCCCACCACCCGGGTCATTAACAACTTCCAGCCTGTCCCTTGGGGGCAGTGCGGGACCTTCACCGTTTACAGGAGATTCACTGTTTGCCCAGCCAAGTAAGTATTTTCAATAATTTGATTTTTAATTTAGAAAAATATCTATAATGTCCATTTGGTTTTTGTATTTTAAATGCAGTTATATTATTTGGTTATCAACATAAGGCTTCAGCACATTAAATCCAATATGATTGATCAATTTTGCCAGTTACAGGTGAGTCTGAAACACAACTGTAAGCTGGCATAGGTGAAAGATAGGAACAATGTCCCAATCTAAATTGTCTATGATGTATTGATTGTCTGGATCAGATTCAAATCCATTTCTTATAGCAGTACACTTATTCCTTATTGCATGACTTACCAACATTCATTATTTGCAAAATATGCTATTAATTTCTGTAATTTTTATATAAAATTATAAAGTGAAATTTGATTCTTAATAAACAAAAATACATATAGATATGGTAAACTAATATTTCAGTGTAATTGCTGTAAATTCCATCTAACAAGACTGTAGGCTAGAGTTAGATTATAAAATTGGTGTTAATGTTATTTCTGTTAATTGTTTTTTTTTTATACTAAATATTAATAATTTCATTAAATACTTTGTATTTCAGTTTTGGGATTGTAATAATCTAAGAAATAAATACTACAAACAAAATAAAACTTTTAGTTATTTCAAAATGTTAAAACAACTAATTTAAAACATATTATTTGTATTATGGCTCTAAGATTGCTGTTTAATATCAGACTTATTATACCAAGACAAGGAGACACATGCAAGATGTCTCCTTGTCTCAGTATAATGTCTGATATTATAAGTTGTCTTAGAGCCATAATACAAATAATATTGAACAATCAGACAAGCAGTTCCAAAATAATTTAGCAATTAGTTAAATTGAGCAAAATTCAATAACAATACATTTGGTAAGATCATATCATAGAATAAAATAAGTAGAATAACTTTAAAAAAAGCCAACAGTTACAACTGAATGACTTATGCTTATAAATTTTTAATATAAAAATGCAAATATTTTGTAAGTCATTCAACTGCAACCAGTGGGTTTTTTAAAAGTTTTCCTATTCCTTGCATGTTATTTTATTCCATGACCCTATGTTAATAGTTTGTTACCTTATGTAAATGTTAAACTTGATTTTATCAAAAGTACCTGTTAAATTTTGTTTTATTTAATTAATTTCTTTAAATTAATTCTGTTATCACCTGAAGTTGATCAAACTTTTATTTTATTGCTATTATAATAATGTATATTTTGATAAATCATTGCAGTGTTAATGTTTTTATAATTCTGTTTACAAATTTAGCTTACATAGGATTTGAATTGTTGAATAATTGAGTTTTTTTTTTTTTTTTTTTTTTGAAGGAAAGATATAATGTATCTTACTTTCTGAATGACTAATGTGGATAGATTTTTAAATCAATTGAATTATCTATTTTTAATTGAAACATAAAATAAAGATTAATTTATAAAATGATATTTAACAACATACCCAACAAAATGATATTTATCTGAAGTTACAAAATTTAATTTAAACATGAAAAACGAACAAGAATTAAATAAATAAAAGTGCATTCAATAATACTTTTTTTTTTATTATCTTTATTCTCATAGATTTTCTTTTGGAACTTGTCATTGTAACATTTTAATTTGATTTTATGATCATTTTATGTAATTCTTGTAATATGGTATAAAACCATGTTGAGATATATCATTTAGTGTTTAGGAAGTTACTTCTCAGACAGATAAATTGTATGTTAAAACTGCATTTTCTTGAAGTTCATGATATCATCACAGTGGCACACACAGGATTTAATCTTGGAGAAGCTGAGTTGTATAAATAAAAAAATTTTTTTATGCAAATTGAATAAAATTTTTACCTTGTGTGACCTGTAATTCATAAGTAGTACAGAAATAGAAGACATGAGACAATATATATATAAAAATATGAATTTTAATTAGGGTAAGCATTCTTGCAAAATTTTCTAAGTTATAAATTTTTAATAGGATGGAGCCAGGCCCTTAGCTTCCTTCCCTCTGGGTGTGCCACTATGTCATAAATCGGATTCATTATAGTTAATGTCTTACAGATATCTAATCAAAATTAAAATGTAATCTAATCAAAGTTAAGGGTTCATAGTTTATGAAAAGATTTTGCAGTATCCATCTGCTTTATGCTAAAAAAATAGTTGGAAAGCAAGAGTTTTTTAATGTAAATTTACTTTGAATAATGTTTTTTTTTTTACAAAATTAAACAGAATAATATACAAGAACTGTTGAAAATATGGACACAAAAAAAGGCATTTTGAGCAGTAATTTTTCTTTTATTCCAAAAAAAATTTTTCAACACTTAAAATAAAGCTTCAGTTTGTGTGTGTTCAAATACAGAAGTGAAAAAAAAAAAACAACAATATTCTTTTGATGGGAGGTTTAAAACTGGTTTCTGGTATGATTTGTTGGAAGGCCAGATCTTGAAAAAAAGCAAATTTGAAAAATGCTTATTTTATTTTAAGCTTATTTTTCACTTTAGAATCTATTCCTAAATTATTGGCAGAGTTTCATTACAAGGTTATATGCAAATATATATTCTAAAAAATACACATAAAACTGAATACACTTTTGTGTACACAGACTTATTAAATTTACATATTAAGATATAAAAAAAAGTATGGGTGGACTTTTTTGAGTAATGGATATTATATTCTCTATGAAAATGTTTTAAAACTTATCTCCTTAATGTCTGTTGTGTTTAATTACTGATTAATTACTTAAATAAGTTTTACACAAAAATATGTTGTGAAAATATTTTTACAATCATCAAATAATTCTTTCAAATAGTAAAGAATAGCAAAAGGAAAGACTGATTTAATTCTCTTATATGTAAAGTTACAAATTGATTTAAAAAAATTTTTTTTTCAATTACCGTAATATTCTTTTGCTATTTCATCAAGATTATTGTAATAAGAATATCAAATTATTAGGTTGTTCAGAAAGTAATTTCGTTTTTTTTTACCACTAGACGAATTAGTCGTATTTTTCCCGCCATTTTCATTCTAAACCTTATTATCATTATATATTTTGACAGCTAGCATTTTAAGGCTTATTTGTAAAAAAATTTTGCTTGATTTTGTGCAATTGTTTATTTTTTGTGTCCCATCAAATATGGAAGATCAAAAGCGGGCATTTTTGGCATATTTTGCTCTTTTATTATCGAAAAGGTAAGAATGCTGTTCAAGTGAGAAAAAAATTGTGTCATGTCTATGGAGATGATGTATTGACAGAATGACAGTGCCAAACTGGTTTACAAACTTTCATTCTGGCAATTTCAATATTGAAGATGCACCATGTTCTGGATGGCCACTTGAACCCAATGAAAACAAAATAAAGATACTGATTGAAGCAAACTGCCAAATAACAACACGTGAACTAGAGATTAAATTTGTCAAATTGAACTGTTTATGATATATGGGTTCCACATGTTTTTAAAGAGAGATGCTCTCTTTGGTGGGATTTTAAGGAAATTTTTTTTGAGCTTTACCAGACAATTTAACAATTGATTCGAAAGTGTACTGCTATCGAGTAAACAAATTGAGTAATAACATCAAACAGAAAAGACAACCAGAATTAATCAACAAAACAGGGGTAGTGTTTTACCACGATAATGTCAAATTTCACACAAGTTTGGTAACTCATCAGAAACTGTTATAACTTAGATGGGACATGCTATCACACCAACCATATTTGCCAGATCCAGCATACTCAGATGATTGTTCCGGTCTATACAGATTTTTTTTAACTGTAAGACATTTACTTGAAATGACAATGTCAAAAATCACTTGGATCAGTTTTTTGTAAGCAACGATTAAAACTTTTATGAATGTTTAAATCATGCTACTACCAGAAACGATGACAAAGGTATTTGACCAAAATGGTTGATATATAATTCAATAAAATATTTATTTATTATAAAAGTATTGTGTTTTTTTCCAAAGAAAAAAACGAAATTATTTTCCGAACAACCCAATATTCTAATTACACTGTATGTCTTTTGAAAATATCTGTTGAAATACAGCATGCGAGAAACACCAGTGCCTTTGCCACATACGCTGTCAATTTGGACATCGTAGCAGACTTTAACTGAATGAGGCTCATCCTCCCTTCACCCCCATGGAACACCTAAAATGGTTGGAGGCCATACACATATTTAAATCCAGCTTCATTTCCACCTGCATTAATTATAACGAAGAGTTGGTTTTGTCAGTAGCCTGGCAGGCGCTGATTGACACTAACCTTTAAGTGTTTTTGCTTGGCATCCAAATGTGCATGTGCGACATCCCTGAGCGTTTATGCCCATCATTGGTCTGATAAGCCCTCACTATTATCTGCCTCATGGTTGTTGATAATTTAAATTAATTAATATAACAACATTTAAATATTTCTCATGCGTTGGATTCAAATGATTCATCAAATGTTTGTATTCCAAAACCTTTAATATTCCATCAGACCTTTACACCTTATATCTTTACATCTGAAGAACTCAGGGGAGTTCATAAACATTAGTTGTGAATTTTTCTTCTGTTTGCTTTTTCATCGCACACCGGTCATCAGTCCATAGGGTACGTTACTGTTGAAATGTTATATTTAAATATAAATTCATACTAAATTTTATTCTTCAGACAAAATCTTTATCATCCTAACTTTATTCTGACATCACAGTTTTGACTAATTGAATTAATAACATGTTAAACTACCAAATTAAAATTAGCTGGTTTCATAAACATTATTCTATTAGTTATTAATGTCATAAAATGTTGTTTAATTAATTTAAAAATTGTATGTTAACTGAATTGCTACTACAATGATAGTTTTAGTTCATTAAACTGAAGATTCAGATCAAATCTGGTTCAGTCCACAATTGACAAAGATTTAGTAATAAATCTATAACTGTCTGGTTGTAGATCACATTAGATGACTAGACTGATGCTAGTTTGATCATATGTAATAATGTATTGGATCTGTCAAACTGTCTTTCGTTGCCAAACTGATTCAGACTTAGTAGGTCAGTGATGTGATATTGATTATGCCTTTTATAATTTAGAATCAAAAATTATAAATTACATATTTTATCTGATAGCAGTGTCAATATGTAATTTTTATTTAAAGGACACAATATTGACAAGTTGAAATAAACTCATCTAGCTAAAATTTATAAATCAAAAATACTACTATTTATTTAGTGTGTTTGGAAAGACTTCTTGTTTAAAATCTGTAAAGTAATTTTATATCAAAAAACCATCTTTGATTTTTTTGTAAATAACAGCAGTAAAAATACTATTTATTTAGTGCTTTTGGGGAAAATTTAGTATTTAGAAATCAAGATGTCCAAATTTAAGCCTGTTTTTGTTTACTTCATCTATCACTTATGATAAGATGAAATAAATGAAGAGTTGCGCCAACATTTATTACTGAATTTAGAATATAAACTTTACACTTTAAAAAATAAATAATTGAATCTTATTGTAAAAAATGAAATAAAATTTAAGATCCACTTCTGAAGATGAAGACAAATGAATTTCTAAAAATATTAAATTATTAAAGGAAACTATTTCAAATAATTGTTTTACAATAAGACTTGATTAATACAGAATCAGGCAACAGATTTATATATAGTTTTTAACATGTAAAAATATTTGTTACATTTTTTTTTATAGATCAAGATCTGTTAAGAAGAGAGCTGGACACAAGATTTTTAGCTTCCCAGGATCGTACTATAAATATACCTCCCCCACCTTATTTAAGATCAGAAATGCATCAGCATCAACACCATCATCATCATAGCAATCTTCATCAACATGGACCATTCCTTCCTCCTCCTCTTGGTGGATCATTGGTTCCACAAGCAACAACACATCTGGTAAATGTTTTAAAAATTTTAATTATTTATTCTTTTATTTGAAACTAGAATCTAAATTATATTAAGTGAAAGAGAAAATTTATAAGATACAGTTGACCCCCCTATAACATGGGTTCCTATATTTCGGATTCCTATATCACAGCGAAAAAATTGCGACAGTATTTGTACAAACATGCTAAAAAAACTCCTATAATTCGGTAAAACGTCATCGCTGACTCGTGTCGCGACAGGATTGCTCAAACCGTTGAGTTTAAACAAGCAGCAGACCTACCAAAAACCATTTATTATTTAACATCCATAAAAATTATATTTATATTAATGATGTCTCTAAAGTTCAGCAAATTTTTTGCAAAAAAAATAATTTATCGGGAAGCACGCGAGCGCCATTCGATGACAATCTCCACGACAAAAACAAGCTTAAGCAACAGCATAGTCGAACGGTGCACACTCGGTAAGTAATCCTACAATTTTTTGTTTATAGCATAGTTTATATGGATTATTCCCAAAAAATTACGTATTTTGGAAATGTTGAGTCTAATTAGTCTAGAATCAATTAATTTTATGGAAGAAACCTTTCAAACAGCTGTAGTCCATAAACTGCCAGGCTGTGATTGGCTGGACTCCTAGAAGCTGGATTCATAAAAACAGGAACATATCTACCGTGTTATAGGGGGGTTGCCTGTATATGACTGCATAAAAAAAATTCTTGTGGTTCTTTTTCACAATAATAATGATTCTTTGGTAATTATAACTAAATAACATTAGAATTTCACATTATGTTATTACTTTCTTCTTTATTAATGCATCAAATGGCTATCTTTGGCTGAATAGTAGTAAAAAAAATATCAATTAACAATGATGAATCTTTGATCTTTAAATTTACCAAACTGTTGAGAATGTAAATATTTAAAGTATTGAGTATGTGTATGATTAGATAGCATATATTTGAAAAATTCAATACAATTAAAATTTTATTGATTTATTAAAACTATAGAAAATGGCATATATGAGATTGCAAATAATGGCAACTACATATTGCTAAACAGTTGTACTTGTATATGTAAATTAGTATTATCAAAAGTAAATTAAACAAAAATTTTCAATAAATAACTTTTTTATCTACTACTCAAGAAATTTAAGCTTATTTTTGATCTTAGATCTATTTCTAAAATATTGGTATGGATTAATTATTATGCCTTTGTGTCCTATATCTTAATTTAATATTTATCTTGTATACTAGTACTTTATCAATTAACAGGACTTATTATACTGGATTTATGGATGCAGAAATTTAGGTGAACTAAATAAAAAATATTTCAGATCTATAAGGCTAAATTTCTGCATTCATAAATCCAGTATAATAAGTCCTGTTAATTGATAAGTACTAGTATACAAGATAAATATTGAATATTGGTATGGAGTTTAATTACATCTTGTATATTTATATATCTTTTGTATGTTTCATAAATTCAGATATATTTTATATATATTCAGAAATATTTTGATGAATTTAGTTAAGCTAAACAGTAAGCTAATTTTTATGGATAAACTTATCAATCATCAATGCTGAGAACTGCATATTTAAGTTTTTTACTAACAGGTATTTTTCTCCTTGATTTGACAGAATAATTTGTAAAAAAACTGTTAGGAAAGAATTCAAATCCAGTTCTTCAAATTATGAAAAATGAATTTGAATAGTATTATAGCTTAATAGTTTTTAACAAAAATATTAATAAATAATTTGCAAATACAGGATAATTTTTACAATGCTGTTTTAAATGCTTTATGTAAGTAAATTTTTAAAAATTAACACTTATTGGTCTATTTTTGAAATGAGTCAAATGTACAGTATTTATAAATTTCTTTTAAAATACACTACAGCTTAGTCAACAACTATTTATTATTGGCAAGTGCCAAATCCAACAAAGGGCACTGTTTTTGAGCCAAGATGGCTGCTGAAACAGGTAATGAGCCGACCACGTGTTTGTTCAGTGCCTGAGCCGATTCAGTTTCTATCGGTGACGACTACTGTGAGGACCAAATGAAGAACAAATCATTGAATTTATGTCAAATTCTAGACTATATTGGCGACAGGAAACGTTGTCTTGTAGAAGGTAAAGCTGTTTTGGATGCTGGACACATAGTATTTTGTGGATTAAACTCTAACAACAACACCAAAGTTCATGTTGTTGCTTTAATGTTGCAATCTCAGATATTGGCATTTTAATACATCTCAATTACAGGGAGAATGCACGTGCAAAGCAGAGCTGTCTGGTTTTTGTAAACATGTGATAGCATGTTTATTACACGTTAACAGTTGAGAAGTATTTAAATATTTTATGCAGTATACACCATGTTCCAATATAAAAACAAAGTTTTATTTATCATAATAGTTAAAATTAGTGCCAATCTGAAGGCTGCCCTGCTGAGCCATTCAGCATTTATACAACATAGGCCAGTCAAAAGTTTGTAGCACACATTGTTTTGTCTATGTGTACAGTACGTCACATATATCCAAAATCCAAAATGGCTTCACCTTCTACAAGACAACGTTTCCTGTTGCCGATATAGTCTAGAATTTGACATAAATTCAATGCTTTGTTCTTCATTTGGTCCTCGCAGTAGTTGTCACTGATAGAAACTGAATCAGCTCAGGCACTGAACAAACACGTGGTCGGCTCCTTATCTGTTTCGGCAGCCATCTTTGCTCAAAAACAGCACCCTCTGTTGGATTTGGCACTTGCCAATAATCTGTGCAGTGAAAGAGTAGACATGAGTCAGCTTGAGCTTGAAGAGAGTATATCTGATGAAATGGGTGCAAAGAGATATGGGAGTTGACATATTGATCACAGTAATAAAATTTGTAAAAAAAAGGTAAAAGAATAAAACTATTTATGATACAGTAGAGCCTCAAAAACTCGGCACTCCGGATAACTCGCCCACACCCTGGCAGGGCAAAAAAATCCTTAGTTAATTAATTTTCATTATAGACAGCTTTATGCCTCATAAAGTATTTTTCTAAGGTCTGTCTTATCAGGTAAATTACTGTACACAGTGTATTCATTAATTTTCATTTTCATGTAGTAAAGGCTCTATGCCTTCATAAAGGACGTACTTTTCCTTTGTTTAAGGGTATTTGGGCAGTTTATTCTCTGTTGTATTCTCAAGCAAACAATACATACAAGTACAGTACAATATTTTCTGAGGAAACACGCATACTTATCCTTTTTTAACCCCATTCCCGATAACCCGGCATTTTCACAAACTCGGCCACCCTTCGGTCCACATTAGGCCAAGTTTTCGAGGCTCTACTGTAATGATAATATAAAAACATTTTAAAAATGTAAGAAACAAAACAGCTGAAAGAGATTAGATCTGTGTGTCAAATCCTAAGTTTCCTTCCACCCCTTTCATCTGACATATAGACCCTTCCAGTTCAGACTAGCTGGTGTCTACACTTTCACTGTGTGGACTAAAAGTCTACTGTGTGTCAAAATATTATTTACATATGAGAAAAAAATTTATTAATTGCACATAATTGTAAAACATTGTCTAGGATTTTTTTGAATGCCAGAGTATATATAATACAGTTATTACAATACTAAATTCCTGCATTTTTTCATAAGAAAGCTTATTCATTGTCTTTTTATTGTGTCTTCAGTGAGTTTCTTAATATTTGAAACTTAGTACTGGTAAAATTGAATTAAAATTCAACTCATTTATCATTTTTCTTAATTTTTTTTAATAGTATACTTCAATTTTGAAAGGAGTCTTTCAATTGTGACTGTTGTCACATGAAGAGTAAGAATTAACAATAGGAAAGAATACAATGATGCTGATTGTTTGCAATATACAGTAGCTATCTGTTTTGTTAGAAGCATTGCCAATTTATTTATTTACAGAAGTCTTTTTATTTTTTAAAATTTTTCAAACAATAACAACTTTACAATGACATGTTAACAATTTTGGCAATAACAGTTTTTTAAAAATAATTAGTGTCATTATAGGGGGAGATAATTTATTAAATTTCCAAATATGGAAATGTGAATCACATTCTATTTTTGATTGTAATCACCCTATCAGAAAATGGAATGCTTCCAAAAGGAGTACATAACAGATTTTAATATTTTTCTTCTATACTGTAATGTATTCAGAATTGTTTCAGAAGTCAAACTTTATATTTTGTGAAACAGTTGGATACATAATCATCATAAAAATGAATGTTTTTGAATGCCTTCTACATGTTTGAATGCAGTTATTAATTTTTCAATTAGAATTTTTTAGAACTGTTCTTAAACTGAAAACTGATATTATCGGTCATATTTGAATTAATGTACTGTAACTGATGCTCAAGAATCTTCATAGAATGTAATTTCAAGAGTATATCTGATGAGCAAAATGATCAGATTTATTTGACTTTATCAAACAGTTCGGAATAATCAATGGATGGATAAAATTGAAAAAAATAAAGCAGTTTACCATTACCAGCAGTTGTATATCACGATTAAGGGAACCTGCTATATTATGCTTTAAGACAGAAATTTTTTGCTTTATTCTGCCTAATTTATTATTTTTTAATTACACATTTTTTTAATTAAATACCAAATTTTCTTTGCATTTATATTGGTTTACCTGATTCTTAATACTACTTTTACTGTATATCTTTGTCTGAATTCACTAGACCAGTTGAGTTGAACATGAGGTGAATGTGAATTTCCAAATTTTCCTTGGTAAATGATGATCTCTTTGGTGTCAGATGGTTCAGGGTAGAAAAAATGCTAGCCATCTTTGACATCTGCACTGCTAGCAGGAATTAACAGAGCTTTTAATGCCAGCTGAATCAAAATTGGCATTTTCCACATAGAGTGCTTCCAGGAATTTATTAAATTATTTCACACTGCTCCATTTTCATTGTTGATCAAAGCACTGTAGTATGCTATCTGTTCCTTTAGAGTCTCTTTCTTGGAGAATTGCATAATTGAGAAGTTATACTGTCCATTGCTTGGTTATGATTTGGATCTAGGAGTTCAAGCTCTTTCCAGAACTGCCATGCTGGTGTTTGCCATCTAGATAAAGTTAGAGTGAAGCTTGGAACCCATACTGAGTGGTACCAACAGTTCCTGAATGCCTCCAAGAATTTGTCAAATATCACTTCCTACAACTCTGGATTTGGATCCAAGCTGTGACTCCAGTTTCTTGACCAGGTTGCATAAGGCTTTCAGCTTGGCTTGCAACTACATGTAGCTATAGCCATTCTGCAAGTTGGGACTGATCAATTAACTTGCTGAGCTCTTGCAATACTGCTCTTTTTATAGTCTGATTTTCTCTGATCCATGACACTATAGCATCCCACCTCTTATGATAGTACAAAACTGCTTCTAGTCATGTCCCCTGTCAAGTAATAATTGGTACAAGTGGCAGTGCTAAAGAGTGGTTCTTGGCAGATATAGCTAGCTGCAACAAATGCCTTCTGTTTGCTGCCTTCATCCTTGAGATGAAACTGTTCAGGATGCTGTTCTTAGTGAGCATTTCTTCTGCAACTAAATGTGTAACATGTGCCCAGCATGTCATGTGGAACAATCTTGTGCACACTGGCATGAGTTTCAAAGCAGCAACATTCATATACAATGTGTCATCTGTCAAAAGTCCAACAAGTGTCTAACTCAACATTCAAAAGTTTGAGAGATGCAAACACTTCTTTGACAATGATATCTCTGTTGCACTTCTCTACAATCTGCAATCATACTAGATGGGGTGGTTCATAGGTTCCAAACAATGAATATATTTTCAACTTTCTTGTTTTTCACATTGACTCGTCTAGTATCACAGAATGTCAACACCTCGACACATCTGTGCAGTAGTGTCTAAATCTTTGTTTCCAACATTGGGGAGAATCCTGCATTCACTTAGGCAAGTTTTCACTCTGAGATAGTTTTAAATTAGACTTCATCCACTTTTGGAACCCTTTGTGACAGAAAATGTTCAAGTGACAAATATTCTGTTCCCACAGAACAGAATATGGAAACCATGTCCTGACATCTTGAAGGTTTACTGCTTTCAGAAGCAATAAACCTTCAAACAAAGAATCTTGCCTTCAATACTTTCAAGAGTAATAGCAGCAAGCAAAGAATTTTGATTTTTTGCTTGCTGCTATTACTCTTCCTCTTACAATGTTTTGCACTTACAATTTGTGTACCTAAATTGAATTTTTTTGTAGCTGACCACAGTATTGCAGAACTCGCAGCACAAATTTCCATCTTCCATTACAAATCCTTCATTGGGTAATTCACATAATCAAAGAGCTGCTGTAACTGGTGTCTTGGACATTATCTTACGATACAATGAAATACACTTAGAAACTTGGTTTATTCAAATCTCTACAGCAATATATCAGATATAACTAATGGTTACCAGATCCTGGGGAGATGGAAGCTATATTGCCAATTGTTTGGAATGAAAGTTGCTACATTTAAAGTGTCATCTTTTTTGCCACTTAATTGAGCAAATAAAAAATACTAAATTATCCAAAATAAAAATTTAAAAATAAAGAAATATTTTATTTAACAAATACAGTAAATTTCTATTTAACATTAAACACAAAAGACACTGCAATTTTTCAACTGAAAAGTATAAATAAGAACTGAAATATGGTAAACAAGATTTGTGTATTGTATTTTCATGTGCCTATATAAAAGTGAGAAAATCTGTTTTTGGCTTATTTGGACACAGCTGCTACAGTCTTCAAAAAAAAAAAACTTGGTGTCTTGCTGATAAGTTGCTGTGGTTAACAATAAGGAATGGAGAGACAAGATGTGGGAGTTAGACTGGGCTACAGGAAAAACATGGTGACCTTGACAAAGTTCCTTAATTCTGCTTTATTGCTTAATAACTGGTTATGATATGTTGTGAAAAGACAACAGAAAAATAAAAAAATGACTAAAATCACAATGGAACTGAAAAAAGAGATTGTTGAGAAATATGAAGGTGGCATGCGTGTTCGAGATTTAACTGTTGCATGCCGCATTCCGAGAACGACAATATCGACAATCATGAAAAATAAAGACATTATGAAATCTGCTAACATTGCGAAAGGGGTTAAATCAATTTCTAAACAGAGATCGAAGACATTAGATCATGTTGAGAAATTGCTTTTGCTTTGGATAACTGAAAAACAGTGTGCTAGCAACAGCATATCAGAAGCAATTATTTGCAAGAAAGCTAAAAAGATACATGCTGATCTCATGAAAATCAAGCAGGAACTAGCAAGGAAAGCGAGGTGTTTAAAGCCAGCCATTTTTTACATGAGAACGGATTAATCATTTTTACATTACTTCTTATGGGAAAGGTTGGTTTGGTATACGTCCTATTCAGTATAAGTCCAAACACCTGGAACAGATTAAGGTCATATACCGAGTTTCCACTGTATTTTGAAATAAAATTTTGGTTTTATGAAACTACAAATGCAAAAAAAAGTATAGTACTTTTCAGACTAGAGAAACTCCTGTAATCATCTGATCATTTGGGAAAGAATAAATTTGTAGAGTAATTTGAATGGAAACTTTGTGACTTAATTTAAAATAAATTTTAAAATGTTTGTAAATGAAAGGCCTAAAAAAAATACTTAAGGTTTAATAATTGGTATTTTTATTTAATCAACAGTTTGATTAATCTAACATTGTTTTAATATATTTAAGGACTTTACTATATTAAAAATTAATTAAAACAATTTATAAAACTAAAAAGTTTGTAGTTGAATTATTATATTTTTTTTTATGTTTAAAATTTGTAGAAATGCCGTCATATATTTTTAAAAGAATTACATAAATGACAAATTTCTACAAATATACATTGCTCTTGTGTTTTCCATATGGTTAAAAAATAGAAAAATATTTAATGATTAAACCCTCCTTTTGGATTCTTCTGAATCTACTACTGGTTACATACTGCTGTTACTTATTGAGTAGTTATAAGTGGCATGCCATCCATGGAAGTTGTGGAAGTGCAGCTTCCCTTGTATTTTCTAAAATATAAATACATATTGTGCGATTATTTTCATATTTTAACATACATTGAATTATTTCCAAATTGAAAATATGATTATACAAACTAAGTTTCAGTGCTTCTGTCTATTTATATCCTTTTCATTCCAGTCCAGGAACCACACAGTATATAAGTTAACACTCATAAACCTTAAAATTACAGTAAAATTTCTACTAATGGTTATAGAACTATATATAACATTTCTGAAACTATTTTTTGATGACCTATTCCACAGCATCTTTCATAGATGCTTTCATCTTAAAAAAAATTCTATAAATTTTTAACAGTACCTTCATCTCTAGATAGGGTAAAAATTGCAAAGTATGAGGTCAAGCAAATAAGGAATGTGTGGAGGCAATGTTGTCCTATTTTAGCCAAATAATCTTGAGTAAGAAGTGAACTGGAGCATTGTCATGAATGAGTACCCAATTCTTAACTTACTCAACATTCTGAGTGCTTTATTCAAATTGCTTCTTGTAAACATCATAACACTCGCAAAAAGTGCTTTGTTGTTGTTAACAGCATCTTGCAGAATAAACCTGTAATGAACAATGCCTCTCAGGCCAAAAATGCCTCCATTATTACCTTATTCTTTGAGGAGTCAGACGGGAATTTTTTTGATTTTCGGAGATGAAGACTTCCATCTCTGAAATTGATGTTTGGTTCTAAAGAAAACACTGTTTCATCTCCAGTAATGATTTTTCCAGAAGCTTAGGGTTTTTATCAGCTGCATCAATGAGATCACCACTTATACTTATTCCTTCCTGACACTGGTCTATTTTAAGGTTTCAAGGAACAATGTAGTTATCCAAAAAATTCTTGTATGGTCATTACTGTTTAATAATGTGTACTAAAAGGGTGTTCATGCTATCAGTGCATGTTCAGAGCATCTGTTAGTATTTCATTACAACTTTTGATAAAAATTCCAACCTTTTCTGTTTCTGTGTCAATTGTTATATGCTAATCTGTTACCACAGTTTAACACACTTCATATTCTCTTCATTTTGAAATATTGCCCATCCAACACAGTAGTTGTCTTCAAGTGATTCTTGGCCTTCTTGAAACTGCTTAAACCATTCAAATACTTTTGATTGAGGAAGCACACTTTTTCCATAAATTTTCTGTATCATTTTGAAAGTTTCAGTGGCAGATTTTTCTAAATACTGGCAGGTTTTAACTATAACTCATTGTCAACTAGACATAAATACCAATGAACCAGGAAAATAAATGTTTTCTTCCATATTAAATAGTCCTCCTAACAGGAGGAAGACCTTTTAAAATGGAATAAAACATTTGTTTTTGTTTTATTTCTTTTATTTTAGCTGGTTCATTGGTATTTATGTGTAGTTACAGTTACTTTTATTAATTTATACCAGTAGTTTTGTAGAGATTGTATTAGCTTGTGCAAAATGTAACACCTTTTCACTTTATTAATGAACATAAGAAAATTACATTCCTTTGATGTCTGCAGTATTCATCATATGATCATGTGATTGATGATTCCATTCTTAGAGTAAAGGAAAGATGTTCATTGAACATGCCAGAAGTTTTAGACTAGGCTTTAGTCTTATGTACTTGTTTAAAGAAAACAGTCTCGGAACTTTTTTAAGTTACCATGTATACAAATACATAAACATTCAGATTTATAATTGAAAAATATATTAACAAAAATATTTTGGATCTCTCTCTCTCCATATTCTATTATATATAATATTTAGTTTAGAACTTTTGTCATCTTCATTTTGTTGTAATCAAGAAAACAGTTTTTTATTTCTGTTTTATACAACTGAAAAAATTAGCAAAAAATATTATGACTTGAGATCAAAAAATTGTAAAAGCATGACTTTTTCATATTTAAATTCCTAAATATTAAGAATAATTAAATGAAAATAGTTTTGTAGTTGTCATTTTCAGTGCCTAATGTAATTAAATTTTTTTTTCAGTATGACAAGTTTGCCAAGCTAGATTCCTCATCATTTTACAGTAGGAATGCAGTAAGTATTTTGTAACTTATTTTTGTCAAATAATTTTTGAAAAATGAATATTTTAATTTATGAATGTTAGATATTAATCTGAAACTATTATTGTTAGAAAAATAATAAAAAAAATTAATAGTTAATATTTATTATTGCATTGTTCTGAATATAGAACAAAATTTTTTTATTGAAATTTCTTTTTTTTAAAAGTAATGTATAACACTATACGCGGGCAAGTTTTTTATCCTGCATATAGTACGGCCTATCTACTTATCATTATTGCAACATCTTGCCGATAGAGGTCTGTTTTATTCTGTTCAGATGTTGCCAACATGATACTTCTTTTATGTAGTTTTTAGGCAAGAAAAAATGAAGTCCAAACATCTGTGTTGAAAATGAAGCCCAACATCTTTGCATCTAAACAAAGGAATTAGAACATTTTTGAACTCAGATTTCAAATATACTATTCTGACATATGCTCAGAATCACAATAATTATGAACCAGCATGGAAATTTGGAATAACAAAAAAAATGTGGCATTGAAGAAGTTGATCAACAATTTGGACCATGATGCTTCCGTATGTAAGGCTTTCAGAGATCTGAAGACTGGCAGATTCAATGGGCTTGGCAGGATTCATCAGTGAGAATCATGCCAAGAATCTAACAATCATGAAACAATCAGTTAAGTTGAAAGCATTGAAAATTGCTCAAGAGAATATTTCAAGGTCAGTGTTTTTATGTTTCCCATTTTTAAGAAATTTCCTTGATGAAAAAAACAAACAGTACCTATAGGCACTGCAATTCTTCACAGTAGGTCAAAGTTTAAAGCAAGCTTTGCTTGGTAACTGAGATTTATGTGCCAATTTAGATTTTCACTCTGCCATTCATGCACTTCATAATCATTCAGTGTTTGCTGAATGATGATGAAAAAAGTTGATGGTCTACCAACATTGTTATCCAACTAAGGATTGTCGGTATTTGTTGAATCAAATCACAAATGCTGATGAAACTCCAGTATATCTCAACATGGCAGGAAATATTACAAGGAATGACAATGAAACCAAATCAGTTTTGATAAAAACAAGTGAAAATGAAAAAACTTGAACTATGTTCATTCAGTATTAAGACTACTTTCCACTGGCATAAAACATCATGCAAATATTGTAAAAAAAAATATGATAAAAGTTTAAAAACCATTTTATAGGGTTGGAAATGGAATGATGCAAATATACTGGTGTAGTGATGCAAGCAATGTCACTTTTCTGGTTTAGAGGTGATGATTGTTGTACAGCATTAAAGTTGACTAGTATTCCACTTTTTTATGCAACATAAAACAGTAAATATGACAAAGCCAGCCAAGCGTACAACAGAAATCATTACTTAACAATATGGCTGCCAAATTTATACAATTTGGCAGCCATATTGTATCACATATTGAATCAATGTCCTAATCAATTAGGTTTGATTATGACATTGATACATATGTTGTATTCACAGTTTTTTTATACAAATTTTTTTTTATTGAAGCTTGGAAGTGCAACTATTGTTTAATAAGTCAGATATATCAATTGATACAACTCAATAATCCTTGAAATTTCATAAGAACCGTAGACAAAAAACAGTTTTGATTTTATGCATACCTTCCCTCTTTCTGTGTGAATTGGGTATGTCAGATGTACAAAATATAACATTTTTACATCAACGTATTTATGTCACACTTATGCCAGTGAGAACCAGCTTTTAGGTGATGGATTCAAGTTACTGCCATGTGAATTTTAGGCAGAAAACGGTGCCAAAAGTTGAAATAACAAAGGGATCCATATCTTCTGTAATCCAAGTGACTGGATGATGATGAACATGATTAAAGATTGGTTAGATGTTTATACACAGACAGACCAGATGCTTTATTGAGACAGAAAGCCATGCTTTATTCTAAATGTATTCCGTGATCATTTGACAATGATCTGAAGGAAGCTTTATTGCAGAGAACATACATCTTGTGCTTATCCCAGATGAGATGACAAATCCAAGTTTTGGATAAAACTCCTATAAACTGGGCCTAAATAACTGAGATGATAGGAAAAATTTATAGAAATAGTTATCTATTTGAACTGCACACTGACCTCTTCCTATCAATTGCGTTTTTCATTTTGGATGTGGAATCTACATTCCATCATTAGGCTCCTTATGAAACATTCCTTTTTGTTGTAATCTCTCTTTTTTACCAAGTAGTTAAGTAGTAGTTGTCTCTTTTTTCACAATGACCCTTTCATTGATCCAAGCAAAAAAGACCAACTTTTTTCCTTCAGTCTTTCTTAAAAACTCCTTTTCCAGATAGTATTGTTCTTCACTTCTGACATAAATACTTTCATTATGAAAGTGTATCAAAACACATGTTTAAAGACAGGCCATCCAATCCAGCCAGACCAACTCCAAATAAATTAGGAGACAGGAAATGCATATTAGCATGCCATATGGATATTTTGAGCCCCAAGACCCACATTATAACAGGCCCAAATGTAGTAAAATTATAATAAGATTGCAGTCATTGGTTTTCATTTTGTATATACTGTAGAAAGCAGAAGTCACAAAATAGCATTAAAAACTGACAAATTTTTGAAAAACAATAATTGGTAAATTCTGATTTATTAAATTTGCTCTTCAGCAATAAATGTTAAAAGAACATATTATATATACAGATCAGACTTTACCAATTATTGTGCGCACACATTTATATATACATACACATATTTTTTTTTGTTAATTTAAATTTAGCTATATTTGAATCCTTTCATGTCAAAATAAAATAATAGATTTGTATAAAATTACATAATCCTAATTTTTAGCATTTATTTTATAAATGACTAAAAAGGATTTTACATAATTTTATTTTAAGGTTCAGATTTGAATTTAGAATTGAAAATTTGATATTTTAAAATCTTAACCCATGTCAATGAATAAAGTTTACAAAAGCATTTATACATAAAATATGATCAATATACCAATATATGATGGTTTACATTAGATTTACAATTTCTTGTGTTTAAATTACTTTTAGTAATAATGGATACTGCAAATTATTGTAAGTTGTTTTGCTGTTTATTATAGAAGAAAAAGAAGCTGTGGTAATATAACAACAACTAATTTATTGAAACTACTCAACAAACTTTTCTTTGATATTTGAATTACCATAACAGATAAGTTTGAAATTTAAATATAATCACAAACCTAAATCAATTATTAGAAATGATATAGGCATACATACATTCTTCATATATGCAGAGGGTGTATTGTCCTGTTATAAATATGAAATTTTCAGAATAACTTCCCATTAAACTGTAGTACAAGTAAAGCTTAAAAAACTTAGTATACTAAAGTAAATTTTTTCATCATCCTTAATGTAAATGAATAATTAAACATATATCTTATTTATTTTTATATTATCCACAAACTCAGTGTATAATTCATTTATATCATGTCCAAAGAAATCACATCTATTTTAAGACTCCATTTTATTCAGTTTTTAAACTAAAGTCACATGTTTTGGCTACGTGTTCAAATTTTTAGCCTACATTGAAACATGATAATGTCAAATTATATAGAAGAAAATATTCATTAAAAATTAATGCTGCCTTTTAAAAATTTTATGTAAATTATTTTGATTTCATTCAGTGCATGTTTGAATTTTTGAAGGTTTTATTCTGTTGTATTTTATTACTGCTTACTACTGCATAGTGCTGTGCTAAATCAAAATTTAGATATTGAAATTCCTTTGGTATTTGGGTATACTGATATTCTGTATTTTAGAATATTGATATCAACATTGTAAGCATATATTGATCACAGTTTGATAAATCAGTTATTAGCACAGCAATATTGCTTCTGTAACTTCATTGCTTAGCTATGATTACAGAATGAGATGCATTCAATCTTTAGCACATCAGTTTCATCCTTATTCTGGGAAATCTAGGCCTACAGTAATGACACACATTTTTTTTTCATATTTTATGTAACTAAAAAGAATATTATTAAATAAATATAATTCAATAAATTCTCATAAAGCAATATTCAAATTTATATTTACTATAGCTATTTTGTGCAAATAATAATAATAAATTTTTAAATAATAATTTTAATCTAATTGTTAAATAACTTGTATATATGGAGCAGGTCAAAAACATAAACAGAATCAAAATGATTTAGTAGTGTAAAACAAGTATGAAATAACAAAACAACACTGCTTCATTAGTTTAAGTAATGAAAGTTTTTGCAATAAATAATAAATGTCCCCAAAAGTATAAAATAATATGTTGAATATTAGAAATATAATAAATATTTTAAGTCAACTAAAACCTAATCAAGCAGATTATTTTGGGGTTGCAGTATGAAAAATTAAATTAGCAAATTTTAAGTAAAGATAAAATAAATTTATTGATTATCTTACCATCTTGTTTTCACATCATGATTAAAAATTTAATTTAATCAATTCATTTAGAATGATATTTATGATTATATTTGAGACGGGTAATTCTCAGTTAAAGCATCACATCAGTCTTAATTGTAATACCAGAAAAATATTGAAGTGGTCTTGCAAGATTTTTGAAATATAAAAGCCAGAATCAGTTATCAATCTTTAGCAGATAAATTACAACAGTAAAAAATATAATTATGCAAAGAAAATTCCCAAATAAGAGAATTATTTTTTTTATTAAAAAAATATTTGTTGAAGAATTTAATTAATTTTGAATGAAAAAATTTAATTAATTTTGATAAAATAAATTGATTTTCAGTTATTACTTTTTAAACTGTGTGAGAAATATTAACAACAAGTTAACTATACTTTTTTAAATATAAAAAATAAACAAGATTTTTATTTTATTTTTTTTAATTTTATGAATTTAACATGAAAATTGATATTAAATAAATTTTTCAAAGAAAATGAATGCCTTATATTCTTGATATTCTTTATAATTTTTTAGGCTAAAAAATCAATTGTAATAATAATTTAGTAGTTTTGTATATTTGTCAAAAGCTCTTTTTTGAATATCTTAGAACAGATTATATATTATTATTTAATAATCTCAAAATATAATAATTTATCTCTTGCCACAAAATTAGAAAATGAGAATATATTAGTGAAATAATACAAATTTTATAATTTTCAGAAAATAAAATTTACATGCAAGTGAATGTTATCATCATAAATCAAATAAATCTTTGTAAATCTAAATTGTTGTATTAGTAGCAACATTGCAATTCTAATAATAAATCAAGATCTAATAATAATTATCTTTTTACAATTATTAGATCTTAATATATTAGAATTGTTGTATGTTAAAACTAAATTAGCAATAACCACAGTTCTATCATTTTTGGTAGCAGAATCTTTCTGTATTCACTTTTTACAAATTCAATATAAATGAATATAATTAATTTTTCATAGCACTTTTATTTCTGCTGCTTTTAACAACCAGACAAGATATTTGGCTAATTCAACATTTTAAAAACTCCTTTTAGATTATGTTAAATATGAGGGGTGTCCAGAAAATGAAGAATGTTTGGCTATAAAAGAGGAAAAAAAAACAGTAATCATAAGGAAAAGGTTTTATTAAGTAATTATTACAAGACCAATTATTTTTCTGCATAGTCACCATTGCAATTTAAGCACTTGTTGTATCTGGGAATGTCTCAATATCACAAAAGTATCAATACTGATATCATGAGTACTTTTAAAGTATTGATACCTGCCAGTATAAGTATCGAAACTGGAAATCATGTTGGCTGTTATTGTTCAGCCTGTTGTGTCACCTTCCAGGTTGTTTTTACTTCTGAGAAGATATACCTATTCTTCTTTTTGTGCAATGGATACATTCCAAAGAATGCCATGTAAAAAAAATTGCTTAAAAAAGCACAGTACATGCATTCCATAGAAAAATGCTTGATGTAGATTATAATTTGTGTGTTTGGTGTATCCAGACATTGATTATGGAATAGAAAATTGTCTGAGATATCTATTAACCAAATATATTTTAGCTAAACAAAATAATGAGATTCCATAAATTATATTGAATATCATATTTTCTATAGCTATTTACTTGAACATTGCTAATGAGGACTTTACTGATTTGATTATCTAGCTTACTTCCTTTTTATCAAAATTAAATTAACAAAACAGGATGTGGGAATTCAATTAAATAAATTACATAATTGAATTCTCTCACTTTGTTTTACTAATTCAATGAACAGTTTTGGTATACAATTTTTCATAATCTCTAAAAATCATTTCAAAGTGATTTAAGATATTTTATTTACTCAATTTCTTCACTGTTAATTGTAATTTCTAAAGATTCTTTTTTTCCTTTTAGCTTTCAAACTTCACTTATATTGGTATCTATTTTCTAAAGTTTTTGTTAGTTTGGTACAGTTTAATGAAGTTTGAAGAGTGAAAGAAGTCAGTAGTTATCCACAGAAGATTATTCTATAATCCTTCTTCAATAAATTTAAAAAATACCTTATCTACATATTTCTTATCTGTTAAGAGAGGATTCAGATTGACCAGATGATCCATAATAATAATCAAAATTACTTATTGTGACATTGTTACAATGCAGGATGTAATTTTTAATTATATTTTAATTCAAATAAACATTTTTAATTGAAATCACTTGACTTCTGGTCCAGACCAGAAGTTTGTATATAGTAAATTGGGGCCTCTAACCCCTATCTGGTCTTGATTTTTGTCTGTCTAACTCTGTTCTTGAGAATAAGGAAGGACAAACTGACACAACAGAGGGAATATACTGATCTGCAGTTTGAAAATTGAAACTCAATAAATGTGGAAATTATTTATATTTTTCCACTTTTATTTAGACTCATGCTTTGATGTTAAATTTAGGATAAAATTAACTTTTTTCCCAATCTGTTGATGATTTTACAATTTCTATAGAGGTTTCATACAATTTTTAACAAGATGTGTCCACTTTTATATTATTGGGCTGCAATTTGAAAATTGTAGACTTCTAAATCCCTACTGTCATGCATCTGTCCATCTATTTTTCATTAATTTTGAGAAAGGACAGATGAAAATTGAGACCAGATATGGAAAGCTTAGGGATTGATGGACCCAATTAACTATATATAAACTTCTTATTTTGACTAGAAGTCACATGATTTTTTTAAAATTAAAATATTATTAAAAATTGCAACCCTGCATTGTGACAATGTCATGGTAAATAATTGCTCACTTCTTCATAAAAAATTATATATTTCTGGAGATTCGATCATTTTTGCAGTAAATAAAGTCCAATGACAAAACTTGATTAAAATTATATTTTTAGATTATCAAATTATTATACTAAAATCATGTCCCATTTTTGATCCAAAATATCATTGGGGTCATATGAATAAAAATATTGGGGGACTGGCCAATGACAATTAGTAAGAAAAATTTCTCATTGTTATATATTGAGTGGATACACAAAATAAGGTGTAATTGTTGTATACAGTATTCATTTCTACCTTTAACTTTTGTATATGTTGGGAAGGGGAATTTGAATATTGGTGGATGTGTCACCTATGTCCATGGTATCAAAACCCATGCAGAACATTTTTTGTTCAATCCCAACTGACATTTTCAATTCTCTTGTGCTATTTTCAGTGTATGATTATATTTTCATTAATCAGTGTGATTCATTTTTAATTACTATGCATTCATTTTCACTTTCTTTTTGTTTATCCTGTATATAGCAGACTTGGCCAATTTATAGTGGGATGTAATCAACTTTCATGATTTAAAAATACCAATTTTATACAACATTATTATTTGTATTTTTTTTTTTTTTTTTATAAAAGTGTTATTAACTCGTTCCTATAAAACTATGCTGCAAAACATAGTTAAATGTATTTATTGCACAGTAAATGATCTTTCAAATTAATTTTTTTTTGTAAAGATACTATGGTTACATCAGCATTTATTATTCATCATAACAAAACAAATTTTATTTCCATTTACCATGCAAATCATAAGCTTTGCTTCCCTTTGGTATATTTATTTTGCACATAGCTGAAAAGATGTATTTATGCGTGTACTTTCAATAGTTTATTACTATCCTTTTCAGACAATATTATCATATACAGAGAACAGAATGTTACCATTTGAAAAATGGAATACAAATGGTAAAGGACATTTTTCAAAACTGTTCTTTGTGCATAAGCATTAATATACTGTTGAAAGTATTCACATAAATAAATCTTTTCTTTAATGCTGATAGTGTGTTGTTAATTTTCTAACATAATGAAATTGTAAGTCACAACATAGTAATTTATAAAATAACAATATAACTTAGATATTACCAAAGTGCAAGTTCCATTTGTGTTTCTCATTCAATTTCTGTATATGTTCTTTTTACTGTTTTTCAATTGGAACAAAAGACAAGCACTTGTTATCTCATACAGCATAGCAATAACAATCTACAGTAATGGTTAAAATTTTTTGGGATAATATAAAATTTTTATTTCCATATAAAAAGAACAATTGTTTTTCACATTTCAACAAGATGTATTATTCACAATCAACCAAAAATGATGCCACATCAATTAGATGATCATGATCATTGCCCATTTCTAGTATATAGGAACAATGATTACTTTTCTTCAATCAACAGTTTTGCCATATTGTAAATTTTAAATGCTTTAATGATGAAATTTGTTTCATTTGTTCATTTTTATTGTTTTTTTCCTTTTCATTTTTTTTTTACAATTTTTGCAATTAGATTTTGGAAAAATTTTGTATTTCTAATTAATTTTTAAATAGTCTTGAAATTGTCATGTAAACAATTATTTTCTATGAATATTTTAATTTATATTTTATATAATTTATGCATTATAACAATAAAATGGCTATATTAAAAATTTTTGTACGTCATTTAATTAAAAAATATATATATTGTAAGATAATATTTGTATAACAATTTTTACCATTTTCTGTTCTTGTTGTTTTCCATTTTTATTATAAAGTCATTCTCTCTATAATTACTGAAAGATAGACAATAATTACAATGAACTTCTCATTAACTATATATTTATTGATAATCTTATCTACTGAAATTGTTATAATTTCTAAAAGACAGACAGACAGACAAGAACAATTTTGAGAAAAACAAATAAACTAAAGGATGGTAAACTTGTATGTTTTATTCTGAAATGTTTTGAGAAAACTACCTTTTTTACAAATTTGAAACCATGTCTTCCTGTTTTCTTTGTTTCTTCAGTGCAGTCCTCAAGAAATAAACAAAAAAAAAAAAAACTATCTTTGTTATTGTTTCAGTTCATGAAGAAGGAAAGAAAGTGATAAAATAGATCTCATATGGTCACCAGATATATCTATTATCATTTTAAGGGATATAGCTAAGTTCAAATCACTGACACTTCAGAGAATCTTTCTATATGTAGAAAGATTCTATATATATATATATATATTCATTCATTCTCTTTTTTCAATATATGTGTATTAAAAATATTTATTATTTTTTTTGTTATGAAAAATGTAATTGGCTATTTTGACTCAATAATAATTTATTAATGTTTCTATTTAGCTTATTTAATAACATACATAAATCAATTGGCAATATACTTTTACTGCCAAAAATCACTCTTACCAATGCAATTTTATGATAATATTAATCACAAAAAACATTTTATAAATTCATAAATGGATGAGTCTTATAAATTTCAAATATAGATTCTTTAACATGAAGAGTTTAAAATATAACTAAAACTTTCAATGATGATGTGGATTAATTCTAAACTCTCAAAACTGATTTTTAATTTTAAAAAATAGATAAATGTTCAATAAATATTAAACAGTAATTTTGTTTTAATTTTTATATCATACAATAACTGTTAATATTTTTTTTTTTTTAGTTGGGTTTAGCTGGTTATCCAGGATTGTCACCCCTATTAGCTCCCAGTGGTGCAGCTGCAGCTACTACACCTTTTGCACCTCCTGGTCATTTAGCTGCATTTCAACCAAAAGTAAGTTGCATTAAAGTTATTTTTGATAGATATCACATCGATAGAATTAAAAATTGTTGTATTTGCAGTTTTTGTCAATTTTGTTTTTATTTACAAGAGAAACTGCAGTACTACTACTCAGACCTTTAACACAGTATAATTTTAAATTTTCAAACATTTTTGGTTATCTTAAATGACTTTTTCAGGACAGAATGAAATCAATTTCAATTTAAAAAGAAGAATGATACCTGGAATGTCTTCTGGAAGAAGTTGATTATGAATATTACTTTTTAGAACAATGAAAATTTAAATGCACGTATTGAACTTCTATGTAAATTAAAATATGAATATACAAATCAAAACCAAAGAAGGTTGTTTAAGACAACCAAAAACATTTGAAAATTAAAATTGTACTGCGTGTTAAATATCTGAGTAGTAGTAGTACTGTGGTTTATTACAAGTGTAGTTTTCAGAGAAGAGAAACTGCAAATATACTGTAATGTGTTTGAATTATTGAAAAAGGTTAAAGATATTTTTTTACAAATATAGATAGTCATTCATTTGATCTTTTCAGAAGTTTGCATAGAAAAAATTTAATATCTATTAATGATGATAATTGAATAAGTAACAGACTGCATTGTAACATATTGTAATATTAAAGTTATGACAGAATACTAGAGTATCTTTTCAAAACTAGATATTTAAAAAAAAGGTTCAAAAATAATTTTTTGGCTGAAGCTTATATTCCAAGATAGGTTCTTTTCAAAGTTATTTTTAGTTGAAGGCTGGAAAACAATAAATAATAAGAATTATTAGTAGGTATATAAGTTACTGTATTTTCTCAATTCTGATGTGCTATCAAATCTAATCTGCACCTATTTTGGAGATAACAAAACAAGAAGAAACATTAGTTTGAGGATATAATGTGCTCCCTATTTCAAAAATGCAGTCACAAAAATGAATGCTTTTAAACAGTAATAAATGCAATTTTTAAGAAGTGTTTTATTTTGACATTTACAGTCTTAATGATATCCACATTTTCAAATTTATTTATGACAATTTGACTCATTATCGGGATCTGCAGACCAATGTGAAATCACAGTCAAAATTTTCATAGCAAGATTTCATATCAGTATGCAGAAGCATGAAATTTACCAGACACTTGTGTGGTACAGATATTTCAATGTGATAATATCACACTGAAATATCTTTGTAAATGTTCTTTAGCAAAGTGGATAACTCTTCTTAAACACAGGTTCATAGATGATTTGTCTGCTGGACATCATTTACTCAGCCTGCTGTGTTCAAAATTGTTTCTAACCTGCCAAATTATTCCAAAACCGAAATTATAATCAAAGTATTGGGAAGGATGTGTATGATATCTCTACTGATACCATAATACATCAAGTTGTCAAGCAGAATGAAGAGCAAATGACACAAATGAGACTATGGTCCCAATTTTTAAGACCAGAAGAGTCCAAAAAAGGCATGCATTAGAATTGAGAAAACATGAAAGGTAATTGAGAAAATTTTTTTAAAAAACACAATCTTTATGTCTGTACTTATATCACCGAGTGTTTCCTTCTTTCAACTTATGAGAAGAAAGAGTAAACCATCTTTAAAAACCTTTCAGTAAAAAATTACAACTGAAGTTGATTTCATTAGATTTGTAAAATTTCTATAAATGATTTGAAGTTTTGTGCATTATGTATACTATTGTGCTTAAATATAATTTTCTGTACAGAGTCTAAATTATAAAATTAAACAATATTTGAAAAGAAAATAATAAATATATTTTAAGTCTTTTTTAATATTTTGATAATACTTTGTATTTTGGTATATATACACACTTATCAAAAGATACAGTGAAAAGATATATTCAAAACATTTTATCTATAGTGTAATTAACCAACCTGATTATTATAATACTTGCTATAAAAACTTATTAATTTAATACATATTTCAAATTAAAAACTGTAATTAATTCAAAGAAGAAACTGCAGTTTAATTTTCTAGAAGTCTTAAATTTTTATCATCATAATATGATGATAAAAATTTAAGACTTCTAGAAAATTAAACTGCAAATATAAAATTTTAAAATAATGATTAATAAATGTATCTGGAATTTAGAACAGCAATTAATAATTTATCCTTTTAGCCATTTTTATATTTTAATCGTCCAGCAATTAACAGGTGTATTTGAAATGAATGTAAAGTTACTAATTTGTATTGAAATACTCAAATTTAAAAATTTTATAATTTATATCATCAATTTCGTGCTGTTGTATCTTACTTCCATCATGATTATATACTGTATAATTAGTGAAGATGAATTGGAACTTTTACAGTAAAAGCATACCTGTCACTTAAATGTCTGTACATTCTTAAACTGCTGAAAACAGACTCGAATTTGGCTACACAGTTCTGAGTTTTTAGCAATCATATTCATAACCTATATTAACATAAGAAAACAGAATATATTTTGGTTTTTCTGGAAACATCTTATTCTATCAGTTTAATTAAATAGACTGAGCATGAACAATTAGATTATTTAATTTCATTTTCTTTTAGTATTGTATTTTTTTCCAATATAACAGTTTTTGAAATTTCCTATAGCTCATAAATTTTTCTTTAAGTTTCAAACCATACAATGATTAAAAAAATGGTTTTTAATATTCACAAATATTATAAACAAAATAAAATATGCACTTAAGTTTTTAAACAATCAAAAATGTTTACAGTTTCCTATAGAATTAACCAATCAAATATACATTTCATTAATTAGCTCCAAAGATGAACTCTACAAATCCAAAAATATTTAGAAGTAAAAATTGTAATTTTGAAGAGATAGTTTGTATAACAAAAATAGAGACTAAAGTTTATATTTAAAAAAAAATTCTGTACTGAAAGATATTTGTTCTAAGTCTTTTACAAGATTTGTTAATCATAATTCAGTTTAGAATATCAATAATAAAATTATTTAATGTCAAAATATAGTATATATATAAAAAATGAAAATATCAAATATTTAATTACAAGGTTAATCATTCTCTATGTATTGTTTGCATATTTAATTTTTAATAAATCATGATGTTTTTCCTCTTAATTTAATGTTTATATGAAATTAAAATTTTTATTTGTAGATGAATTCTCTTGTGAAAAGCAAGACTATGGTAAGCTTTATTTTATTTGCATTTTCAATTAGGTATATATTAATAGTCCTGTTCAATTCTAAAATTGTGAAAATGATTTAGTGTAAATGAATGTCAAATTCCTTTTCTCTCTAAATTTAAAGTGAGTACAATACTTCATTTAAGTAGAATTGTAGTCAAACAGTCAATTAATTTAGTACTTTTAAATTGTATGGATCATTTTGAGAATTGTGTAAGAAATCTTCAAAAAAGTCTGAGGTTATCAGGTTAAAAAAGCAAATTTGTAAATTAATTGGTGTAAATAATAATTTAAAAATTAGATTGCTTATGTTTTGATAACATTCAGTTAATTGTTACTATAGTTAGGACATTCTGTCAGATAGTTTTAAGTGATTTTAATTTGACATATTTTTGTAATATTCTTCCAAAAAGGGTGTTATTAAAACAAAGTATATTTTATTTTTTTTATTAGTGTTTATAATGAAAAAAAAATCTTAAACTTCAATTTTTTTTTTAAATATTTCTCCTGTTATTGAGATATCTAAATAATAATTTGAATTAAGTCAATAATAATAATAATTTTTTATTTCCAACATATATTAAGTTCACTTTATTTTTAACTAAAATAACGAAACATATGGAGTAAGTCATTCAAGCCATATTAATAAAACTGGTATGATATAAATCTGATTGCAAAAAATTGCTTCAGAATGGTGATAGTAGTTTATTCCCTATTATGATATGTGGTATAATAATTTAATACAACAAATTTCCAATTTGTTGTTTTAAATTATTATACCACATATCATATCATATATATCATCAATTGTACTGGGTACCAACAAATTAGAGATAAATTTACACATGTTGTATTATGCAATATGCTTCTTGTCTAGTCTTATGTTCAAATATACGAGCGCTAAGATGGCTTTTTCTTTTTCGCCAGACTTGTTACACCATCAATGAAACAGAGGACAAGCTTTAGAAAGACTTTTTATTTATTTGAGTATGCATTTCAGATAATTATATCCCTTTTCAACTCGTGTTACAACTATACAGGAAAAATCAGCATAATGTATACAAGATTATACAAGACGTTTCATTGATGGTGTAATAAGTCTAGTGGAAAAGAAAAAGCCATCTTAGCGCTTGTATATTTCAATACGTTGTATTATTGAAATGGTTTAACTTGGTGTGAGATTATTTTTTCTTCTGCTAACTATGGAGATGCTAGAATTCGTAATTTTGTTATTCTGTTGAACTTTCTACCTTGATAAAGATGTTAGATAGTTGCAGTGCAGTTATTGAACTTTTTAAAGGTGAAATATGCCAATTTGGCATTGTTTGAATACTTTGTTTTCTCACCAGACAGTTTCAAAGTTGGTAAAGCGGTTTCAGAAGCTTGGCCATAATGGGAACCTCCCAGGAAGAGAACGAAAGTGAACTGTCACAAAACCTGCGAGTTCTAATAGAAAAACCACAGGTTTTGTGACAATATATGAAAAATAATTCTGCAAAATCAAGTTCCTATGAGAAAAATGGCAAAAGAAATGCAGTTTCTCAATTAATTTCCATATGTAATAGCTAAGAAGGATCTTCAACTGACTCCATACTAACTACAAAAAGGGCAATATCTTACAGATGAGAATGCACATGTACGGCTGGAAAGATAACAGCAACTGAAGTAATGCACCATTGCTGGTCAAATTGGAAAATATCCTTTCTGCTGATGAGAAAATTTTCACAATTGAGCTAGTCCACAATCACCAAAATGGTGGAAAATGGTCTAATGCAGTGATTCTCAACCTTTTTTTCATCACAGCACACTTTTAATAATTTAAAAATTAAAAATTTGGTGGCACACACGGTTACTTTGGTAAGTACTGCAGGACAACCGGTGACATCATAACTGTGATTTTTAAATGCAATTGGTTATTTAGGTCACATTTTCTAAATACCTTGGTAACTACTGGCAGTTATCAGTAACACTGGTTACATTTTCCAAACGCGCTCTAGGAAGGTAGAATCAATTAAACTACTTGTCTGATGTCGCTTATGTATGGATATTCGCAGTGGTTGAGAATCACTGGTCTAATGAATGTCCATCTGATGTAATCATAAGGTGACCAACCGTCCTCTTTTAGTGAGGACAGTCCTCCTTTTGTAAGTTCTGTCGTCCCTCAAAAAGTGTCCTCCTACATGACCTCCTTTTTGATATTTGAAGACTAACCTGTAAATCTCTGTATTCAATCAATGCCGAACTGATTTGTTGCGTGTGATGTGATATGACGTGTTTATACTTAACATGACGATTCATCAAGGCTCTGTACAGTGCAACAAGATGCAATTATGAGACGGATGCTCTTCGCACAGGAGACCTTGAGAGAGAGAGAGAGCGCAAATGGCTTTGTTTACTTCTTATTGAAACATGACATGGCACCTATGCATGCAGTAGAGATTATTATTGTTGCAATGAATAAAATGTTTTTTATTTACGATATTTTTTCCTTCAATTTATCAGTGTCCTCCTTTTCATTGTAAAAAAGTTGGTCACCTTAGTAATCATGTATCATTAGAATGCATTAAATATCGTGAATATGGAGAAGGATTTGCTCATCAGGCAAACTCCTCTTGTTTTTTGTATTTGAAAGGCTCAAAATCAATCAAGGTGTATATTGGAGGGATATTTTGAAAGCTATTGTCCTACCTTAGGCTCTGGAACATTTTACAGACCAGATATGGAGATTCCAGTAGGTTTTGGCACCTGCTCATGGCAGGATTGACACAGGAATGATGCAGAGAAAATTTTCCTGATTTCATTATTGTCTAAGAATGGCTGCCATTTTTGCCCACTCTAAACCATATGGACTAACTACAGTGTCTGTAATCTATTGGATCACTTTTGAAGGCCTTACAGAGACTGCTTCAGCGACTGCAAATTCCTGTGGGATTTTGCAGTCGCTGAAGCAGTCTCTTATAGCAGAATGGGACATATTTTGGTAGAATTATTTTTTTCTAATTATAGTAATTTTAATTATAAGTATTTATGAGTGATTTTAAAATAATTATTATAATTCCATCCTGTAGACCTGGAGACTATATGTAATCAATATGCAAATAGCAAGATTTACCAATGATGATTCATATTATGAGTACACGCAGTAGTTAAAATATAATTTGTAACCACTATGTACACTTGTAAATATATATAAAAATCTGTAGATTGAGTTTTGTACAGTATAAAATGTCATGGTTTTACATAAATATGAAATTTACAGAATTTCACATAAAAAAGTAACTGATGAGGGATTTCAAATCCAAAATTCATTAAGTTCCAATAGATTTATATAGTAGAAAATATTTGAAATCCTAATCAAAGATAGTAAACAAAATATAAGCTTATGGAAATATAAGTTATATATAATATATATAAAACTAGTGTACATTATCTTATGAATAATTCAATATCACATCAGTATTGATGTCGTCAAACAATAGGAAGTTTTTAAGTTTGATACCATCAACATTATAAAAATCTAACCTTAATGCAGAAGCCTAATTTAATGTATATCAGATATAATAATATGTGTATTTGATAGTTTTACATACATTTATGCAAAAGTATAAATGTATGTAAATAGCAATAATTACAATTAAATAGCAATAATTACAATTAAATGATGACAACACCATATTTTGTATATCTTATGATGATAAAAAAAAATAATGACCTCTCTGAACCATTACCATTATCATGCTTAATCTAATAAATTTAAAGTTAATTAAGCTGATATAAACTGAAGATTTGTTTTAGTTTATATCAGCAACAGAGCAACAGAGAACAATAAAATATAAAACATCTTTTAAATATTATTAATATTAATTATAATGTATTTAATATTAACAAAACAAAGCGTGTTATTTTTTTAATATTAATTAAATGTAGCAATAAGTGTTGTTATACAGTTTGAAATATGTGTGATTTACAAAATAATATTTTTAAGAACATGCACTTTTCAAAAATGTTAAAAATCAATGTGTACCTAATAACATCAGTTTGTAGGAGACCTAGGTGTTGCATATGACATAAGCCCCAAATGTTTTTAATTTTGGCAGTGGTCCCCATAATAAAATAAATAAATCTAAACAAATAAATAAAGAAAACAAAAATAATTTTTATATATAAAATTGATAATCGTTACTCTGAAGCAAAATACTCAATCTAATTTATTTAACTTTTTGTTTCCAAGTACCAACTAATTATTCTAACTTACATCAGTTGTTTCTTTGTTACTAAAAACAAATCTTCAGTTTATATCAGCTTAATTAACTTTAAATTTATTAGATTAAGCATGATAATGGTAATGGTTCAGAGAGGTCATTATTTTTTTTAATCATCATAAGATATACAAAATATGGTGTTGTCATCATTCTCATTCATGAGTGTTCACATTAATAAAAATGCTAACACTCAGGAATGCTCTTGACAGCCTTTCTAAAATTATTACAATATGTACCTCAGTGATAATCATCTCGTTGAACTTAGCATTAGAATTTCATAAAATATAGGAACTGTTCTACTTTCAGCACTGAGGTGAAATCAACGTTACACTATCTGGAACCTGTGACCGGTGCTCTACGCGTATATATTGTATATCGCTTGACAAACATTTTCGAGCGATCTGTTCGCTCTTCTTCAGGTCGACTGAAAATTCCCCAGACAGAGTGTTGGGATCGGGTGTCGGTTCCGACTGGGTTGGTCGTTTCTGGCATGCGTGGTTGTGTGGTGGGGAGGAAACTGTGGGTTGGTGTCTAACAGCAATTGCCAGGCCAGAGACAGGGTTAGCTCTTCCTTCCGGTTAACGCAGGTGGTTAGCCGGCTGACACTCAGGAATGCCGTTGTAGATAGGCTGACGTTGTAGATAGCCACGGCCTCCAGCCACCTGAGATGCTGTTGGTGGGGCATGTTGATGATGATAGTAGCCTTCTCGAGTTGCACTTCAATTTCGGGATCCGACGCA